GCTTTTGCTACTTCACCATGTCATCAAAGAGAAGGAGCTTCTATTGGTTGCTTCCCAGTTTTAGGTCAGCATGGTGGACCTGAATTTTACTAAATGAGTCAGCGTGCTTTTCTTTTTAGAAAGCAGAGCAGTGGTGCTGCCGTTTGTGTCCCTGGGTCTACTAAATCCTTTCTAGATGCTCCCAGTTTGGGGTCCATCATGGTCCTTCCATTTGCCCTGGAACCAAAGCACTTATCACCCAGAACAGATGTAAAGTAGGGCTGCACTCTTGAGCTCAGGCAGAAGCAAAGATCAGAGCAAGAAACCAACAGAGTGAGTACCCAAGTTGGGCAACAAGCTAGGCCCTGCTCTGGAGCTAAGGAAGGACGAAGGAAGGACCAAGAGAACGGAGAGAGACCAGTAGGGGCTGTGGTTGGAAGAGCCCAGCTTTGGAGCTCAGTGAGGACAGTGTGAGTGTAGTGCAAGATAGCTGAAAGAGAAAGCACCTCCTCTGGGCAGAGAAATTGGTTGGCCAGGACCCCGCCTGGAGCTTGGGGAGGAAGACAAATGATGAATGATTTAACCATCCTTCTAGGGCTAAATTAGAACTACGTTTTGAAAAAAAGCCCTCCACAAACCTCTTCAGATCAGTATTTACTTCATCCTATGTTAACATATATTTATTTTCAATCTTGCATTTTGAATTAAGCAGGTTGTGTGTTCTCCTTCACCCTTCATCACAGCCACATCCAGTCCCCGATTGGTTGTCTTCACAAAGCTTCACAGAAAAGTTTGGATTTTTCAACTCCATCGAGAGTTGCTGCACATCCTTCAGGTGAAGCATATTTCGATTCACTGTTGCTTAACTGCTTTGCATCACTGTGCTGCCGAACAAGCATCTATAAAGGGATGATATGTAAATCATGCAAAGCTATCACTGGAAATGCATTCGGTGTGAACATACTGTTAGAGAAAGGCTTAGAAGCTCATCCATCTTAGAGAGTCCGTTCTTCTTCACATCAAGAGGACACAGCTGCAGTGGCTCAGACATCTGTCTCAAATAACCCTTGGACTCCTATTCAGTGAGATGTTCCAAGGACATCCCACCAGGAAGAGCCCCACGGGAAAGCACGGGACACGCTGTATGGACTATGTCACTTGGCTGACTGTGAAACGTCTCAAGCTTTCCCAAGAGGAGCTTGGAGAGGTGTCTGGAGAGAGGGAAGGGAGTCTCTGCTGAGGCTGCTGCCCCCTTGGCCTGAAGAGGCTCAGTATGAGCACAAATCCTGAACCTAACCAAACTTCAAATACTGAAGTTCTGTGTGTGTAGGGAGGAGTGATCAAAATGTACAATATGATCTTAATAAAATTAATAAACAATTGAGCTGAAAGTAATTGTATGATTTTTTTATAGACTTTCAAAGCCAAAACACTTTTTAAAATAAAATTTGGATCACCAAAACTATTGGAAATAGGAAATTTAATAATTTAAGGACTTGAAAAGGAAAAATGTAAATAAAAACAGTATGCTTAACCTGTAAAACACAACAATGCAAATTTTGACATTGACAGCAGCTAAGTCAAGATCTGCTTTTCAGTGTCTTATCAACACTGCCGCAAAGGTTCTCGAAAGAAAAGAAAAAGGAAGCAATTCAAACTGAAAGACTTGACTGATAAAAACAAACTGAAGCTTTTGGATAGATCCAAAGAATTAAATACATGTTTTCCTTGACCTGGTTCAACATTTATATATTTTATTACCTCCACCAGAATGCAATGCTTTTTGATTAAACACAAATCCCATCCTTTGTAAAAAAAAAAAATATATTTCAATTCCTCCAGACTGATTCTTCTGGAGAATCTGCAGATTCGGGTAACTGAATACTTCTCTCTTGAGATTGACTGGACTCCATCTTTGAAATCCTCTGCAAGATATAGTGAACATGGGACAAAGAAAATTCATTTTCCTTCTCCGTAGACTTCCAAATAAAAACTTTACAAGACATAACTGCAAGTATGAAAAAAATTTTCTTGCTTTGATTTAAACCAGAAAATAAGGTGATGCCATGTGAGTGGCAGATCTACATTAGCGTGTTTTTATGTTATACTTAAAAAGTATTATATATTTTATCTTTTTCAGAAGAAGTTTCCATTTACTTGAACTCAAAACTAAACCTGTAGTTGCTGGGAACTTCAATCAGCACTATATATCAGTTGGATTTGTCTAAAATAAAAATAAAAATGATGAGTCTATCTTTTTCATATTGAGCGCAATATATTTTCACTTTCTTCTGCCTTTTGATTAATTATTTTTATTTTACGGCAATTTCTTCTACAACAGCCGGGAAAGCACTGGAATCTGTAGATACATAATAATCCCAACAATTTAAATCCCCATCTTGTATTGTATTGCTATGACTATTATCAAGTCTCAATATATTGTTATCTTTAACATTCTAAATCATTTTATTCTTAGTGTGCAAAATATAAAAAAAAAAAGGGTCATAATTCAATTAAATACATTGCCAAGATTCTAGAATATGAAATGTGGCTCACAAGAACATTGTATTAGGAATTCATTCTAGCCCGCCGACTATAGCAAAAATGGTGACAGAATTCTACATTTAAAGCAGCACTGTGCTTTCCACTTTATAAATTCAGTGGGTCATGCGCTGTTGATAAGCAGATCCACTCATGTTTCCTTAATGGTATCATAGTCTACCTTCAAAGATAGAGAAAGGACACAATGTTTTTGCAGACAGGTCACATTTCTTTTTTTTTTTTTTTTAAGATTTTAAACAAACCAAGGACAAATATTGTGAATCAATACACATTCATGTCCAGTTTTTCTATGCTAATGGTTTACAAAGCATTAAAAACCAAAACCAATGAGCCCATCCGAATATCTCTCCATTGCCTTGAATAGCCTGCATAATATGCAGCACAAGTCCTGGGGCTGAATTTCCCGCAAATTCCTAAGGATATGACGACAAATGGAGTTGCAAGGGCACCCTCCGCAGGTTGATACAGGAGGTTTCGGTTGTTCGAGTAGTAGTAGTAGTAGAAGAAGAAGGAACAACTTTTAAACACTGCCAAAGATAGGAATGGATTCTTCAGCAGTCAGCAAACGGCCAACATCTACTCAAAGGGTGAAGGCATTTCTCCGTGAAGCACTAAGGACCCACATTTGAAGCTCATTCCCCCACCTGAGATACAAACCCAGGCTTCCTGATGCAGGACGGGTGACTTACCCTAGCCAGCTGCTAATTTCTCTCCTCCCTTTATTCCCTTTAAAGAGGCCCATCAAAGCTAAATCTTCAACCCCATCTTGTTTTGTACTTTTTTTATAATTACATTAGAGAGAGTATTTTTACAAGGCTGCTCAGTAGTGCAGTGGGTAGCACTGCTGCCTTGTGGCAAGGAGGCTCAATGGTTAGATTCCCAGCCCAGGATGTTTCTGCATGGACTCTGCATGTGCTCCCTGTTCTCTCTGGGTACCTCTGCTTCCTCCTACAGCCCCAAAATAGGTTAATTGGCTTCTCTAAATCTGTGTGTTTCCCTGTGATGGACTGGCGACCTGTCCAGGGTGTACACTGCCTCTCACCCATAGACAGCTGGAGATAGGCACCAGCATCCCTCGTGACCCCAGAAGGGATCAAGTGTGACAAAAGATGGATGGATGGAGTATTTTTACAATTAAACCGCATCTTTATGCATATGATACAAATTTAATCTATTACGAACTTTAAACACCAACAGGACCAGTATCATATTTTGGGCATACAGTGCTTCTACCTAATAGCTTGATTAACATTTGGCCATATGTTTGACTCTTATCTATGACAAACAAAATAGTTCCTGAACAGGCAATAGATGATGTGCACTTTACTTTAAAATCTAGTTATGCAATATTCAGAATATGCTGGTGCAACAGTCCATTGTCTCTCTGGGTGGGTTTGAAGATATATTTAAGAGATTTGTAACAAGAATGAGATATTGTGCCTTCACAAGGGTACCTTGAATTGGATGAATCTCAAGGGACTTTAAAAATGGTTAATAAAAAGAAATAAAACAGATGTTCAGGGAGGCATTTATGTCCAAAAGGAAAGGTAGGAAGCTGGCACATCCTAAAAAAACAACATTTCTTTATGAACACATTTCTCAAAAGGTCATTAAGTGTCTGACCAATGCATCTCTTCCACTGAGTTTCACCCCTTTCTGTTCCTTAGTAAACTCAGTTAAAGTCCAATGACGTTCTCACCATCTGCTTCCTCTGACACCCTGTTATATTTACTTCCTCACAGCCACAAACCTTTTAAACCGCCGCTGCTGCCTTTCATCTCCAAGCCGCTTTGCCACCTTGCCAGCCTCGACAAAAATAAATGCTAAATGCAATATTTAGTCTGGGTGCATCAAACAGGCATAACAGTAAAGAAAAACATACAACAGTCTTCTCTATATATACATTCTAAGATGTTATGGACTGGATGGTTAAAGTGTTTACCAGTGAAGGGAATTGAGAAATGTAAACCAAAAGACAATTATATAAAGCAACTGTTTCTAAGACTACATTGGCAAATATTTCCAATTTTCCTTGCTGGTTTCTAAACAATGAGCACATGTACTGTTTGAAAGTTAAAATAAGCAGCATGCAGTTACTTTGCAGGGCTAAGTAATGATTTGTGCTTTGAAAGGTGGAGAAAATAATAAAATCTGCTGGGTTTGCCTGTGGGAGTTGCACTTTATCACCTGGTCAATATGCATTCAATTACATCTCTTACTTAAGATGTTCAGGTAAAAGAAATAATCGTATTTCATCTGGGACTCATATTAATCGAATAGTGTCTTTAGAAAAGCTGCCTTCTGGCTTTGGGTTTAATTGGTTTAATCCACATATACATAATGTGGATCAAAGACAACAGCATGAGATGCATCTATAAATTCCCTCTTTAACGCCTTTTTTGTATTTTACAAAAGCTAAAAAGTCTAATTATGAAATGGAAAAAGGAGGCGATCAATACCTTGTGTCGGAATTTTACGACCGGTCGATAGAGCTGAGACCCAAATCCTTCTTTGTCGGATCTCCCAGTGGCTCCAAATCCAGAGATCCCCACCAGTAAAATGGTAACCAACCACCATCCGGCTGTCTTCATTGGTCTTTTTCTGTCAAAAATATAATGAGAAAGGTTGAGAGCTCCTTAACAACAATTTGTGGGTTCAATACCATTGTGCTGAGGCAATTCATCAAACATGCTGTAATTAGCAGAGAAGCAGAAAGCTGTCGCTGGTTTACACTAAAGCTATCAATACGTGCCCCACACTCAGCAAGTAGATACCATCTCCTTCTGAATCAATTATGTGGAAATAGACGTCATGAGAAAATCTAGATAAGGAAGAGAGAGACAATATATTAAGGCAATTAAAGTGAAGGCTTTGGATTAATTAGTCTGAGTGTTTAAATCAAGTAAGTGTGATGTAGTGGAGAGATAACATTTTCAGCAGCTCTGATTTAAGTATAGATGCAGCCCAAGTACATTTATATGAAAGTGTGAATATTCGCTTTACACCTCTGGTGTAATACATTTTTAGTTATTCATTATGCCGTGTGAGGACTAGTCGAACCTTTGCATGACATGAATTAAACAAAAAAGACAGCGAGAACATGCCCAGTGACAATGTGTCACAGAAACAGCCCTGTTGAAGCAAGTAAACAAATGCAATAAATCTGCATCACTATTCGCAGACGGAAATCAATACCTTGTGAACCTTGTAAAACATATATTGTTTTATTTAACCTTATGGATAAAATAATTTGCAGCCAGTGTCTGCAGCTAACATTATATCATCTGACAGTTTATACATTTTTACAAACAAAGAGGAAGCTGCAGCTTTTTAGCAATCGCAGACCTCAAGTGCCTGCTCATCTTTTTTCAATAGAGGAAGATGACTGACAGCAGCTTGGTGACCCTGCTTCCTTGTTCTGCTGGAGTGACACAGAGTTTGACAACAATGGCAGTGCTGCGGCACACTTCTGAGCCCACATGCTATTCACAGGAGGTTAGGAGGTTCCATCAGCACAGCGGCATGTCACTGTGATGGTCTGGACCAACAGTGAATTCTCAAACTTTACTTCTTTGACTTTATGACTTCTGCTGAGTCCCTGAGCTTTTTGATGCTTTCAGGTTCCTTCACTGTAACATTTTGTACTTTAAAGTAAAATAGTCTTATTCTAAGCATTTTTTAACCTCTAAAAGATCTTTGTAAAATGTTATTAGAGTTAAGCAGGTTTATGTTTCAGCTGTGTAAACAAGTAATGATGGAAGAATGTTGCTGCTTTAGATTGCAAGATGGAGCAGTGCAAGAAAAATACATTGCTCATAATCAGTGTTGCGCCGATGCCATTTTTTGGCCCCGATACTGATACCCGATACCTGGCTGTGCAGTATTGGCCAATACACATACCATACAGACAGCATCTGTTTGAAATTGACGTGTGTGTGTGGGTGTGTGGGTGTGTGTGTGTATGAAGAACTCCATATTACTTGGATGTAAAATAATTGCCATCATGGCTTTGTCAAGCTGCTGCCTACCTTCGTGAAGCACGAAAAAGACTAATACAAAGTGAATGCAGTGGAAGTTTTTATTGCATACCTGGAATGGGTGACAATAAATGAAATAAACTTTTGGCTCTCAAAATGGTATCTGTGCCCTATTAGCTGGTAGTCACCGATACCGATACCACCATTTTAGTGCTGGATCGGGGCCCCGCCCGATACTGGTATAGGTATCGGTGCAACACTAAGTTTAAAACAAGCAAAAGTAAAAAAATTTTATCTTCTAGTATCTGTTGTAATGAGGACCATCTTTACTCCACCAATGTTCAGTCTGAGGCAAGATAAAAAAAATTAATAAAAAAAAAAGAATTAATACCCTGACTAAAAAATGTGTCTACATCTCCGCAAATTCTACCAGTTTCTAAACTAAACTGGCTTTAAAACTGCTTATTGCTGGACAGGCAATGGAATTCAGTATAACAGGCAATGCAATTCAATATAACAGGGAAGTTTAATAAGGCATTATGTTAGAGGCAGGGCAGTGTAGTCCAGCAACTAGTCTGTCCCCTAAGCAGATACGAATTGATTTTTTAATTTTACCCTGAATGAGCTCCGTTAAAACAGCTAACAGCTGCTGATATTTTTCACAGTATTCATACAACCAGGCAGCCTAAATGTCTTTTAGATTCCCCATGGGTTTTATAATACATTTTAGGTAATATGTTAAGGATGATTAGGCCAGCTATGTCCCCTTGTTAGAGATGGCTAGTTGGTTTGTTAGCCTGTAATGGCTGAGCTCGATGTGACAGTTATCAGCTGCTGTTATGTTTCACAGAAGTCAGACCCACTAATGTCCAAAGGTTCTTTCAGACCTAAATTTTATAGAAATATTCAGTTTTATTGTTTATTTAAGCTGATTTGACAAGCCTGTGGCCATTTTATGTGCCGCTTCAGTTCAGAAAGCTAAGAATGTCACTCCTCAGCTTCCATAGTATGTCTCACTGGCTTGACAGGGAGGCACCAGTATGTTGTTTTTAAATTATTCAGAGCACCACTAGGTGAAGGTAAATCTCCCACATTGTCCCTTTAACGACATCTTTACTGGTAAACTTTGGGCAGATACATTTTTACTCCTTGCTATATCTTGTTGGTCCTTAGAACCTAGTACGTTGCCTCCACTGTCTGTCATATTTCTTAGGTTTCATTGCATAACAAACGTAATTGTTTAACGTGACAAAGCTGTGAGAAAGCTTGATGCCATGCTGGGGAAGCAATGCAATTGTTTAGTTAGGATAAGGGGGGAAAGGGACACATCTACAACATGCAGGAGAGTGGACCCTGAAAGCCAGGATTGGCAACCGAGACCCACAGACTGATTAACATTTATACTCTAAAGACATGACATGAGCATTAATGCCAACTCAAGGCCAGGGACAGAAGTCAACCAACGATTCTGCATATTATTTAATCAGCCAGTAAGCGCAAATAATTAAAACAAATGGTTGAATGTATCCCCTATGAGTTCCTAAACTATATATAAATGTCTTGTTGACAAAGTAACATTATGTCATGTGTGTAGTGCATTTGTTATCTAGAGAAAATACTGCAGCATTGAAATGTCTTTACTTATGCAACCACAAAGTTGGCTTTTACTGTAAGACTGAAACATATTCTCCTGTTCAAAAATATTAATTATGTGTAGTGCATTACCCAGGGATGCTCAGAGTCTATGGTCTACTATTTAATAACCTGTTCATATTTTTCTATCTTTATAGTAATGATTACACCTACTGGAATTTACATCCAACATCTTATTTCTCTGTTAAGCGGCAGATAAATGCTTACTGATATTTTATCTCTGACATAAATGTGATACCTTATTTTTATGAATAATTTCTTATTAGTTTTAAGAAAGATAATTCTATTTTCTCCTAAGATTTAAAATGTTTATGTTGTAATACAGGGCTGCACAGTGACTCCATGGGCAGCACTGCAAGAAGGTATTGAGTTCGATTCCGGGCCTGTGTTCTTTCTGCACGGAATTTGCATGTTCTTGGTGTGCATGCATGGATTCTGTCTGGGTACTCCGGCTTCCTCCCACAGTCCAAAAACATGACTGTTGGGTTGATTGGTTTCTCTAATTTGTCCTTAGGTTAGATTGTGTGCATGAATGGTTGTTTGTCCTGTGTGTGTCTCTGTGTTGCTCTGCGATAGACTGGCAACCTGTCCAAGGTGTGCAGGGTATGTATGTATGTATGTATGTATGTATGTATGTATGTATGTATGTATGTATGTATGTATGTATGTATGTATGTATGTATGTATGTATGTA